TCCATTTCACTAAATTTCTAATAATTGTTTTCTAACAATTCGTAAGACTTTAAGATTATAAAAATTTATATACGATTCGTTATCTAATGTCCCGAAAAATTCCGCGAGTAATAAATTTAAAATAATCGTTAAAATAATAAAGACCGCCATATTGGATCTGACATTTTGAATTTTTAGAAACCGACATGGGATTCGTCATCAGCGACCCCGAAAACCCCCGAGTAACGATTTTTAAGCCAATCCAAACAAATTTTAATTATATTGTTCGCCATATTGGATCCGCCATTTTGAATTTTGATAAACTAACACCGGATTCGTAATCAGCAATCATAAAAACACCTAAGTTGTAACTTTAATGAGCTTACATAATTTTTATTGTGCTGTGTATGGTATAATTTGTTTGTTTGGAATCTTAGATGTGTTTTTGAGATTAGGTTCGATAGATTTAATGTTTTATAGGAATTTTCAATTGAAAAGCTTATAGAATAGTTAATTTAAATTAAGGGATCTTAGAATATTATCAACATGCGGTTAGATTCAATTTTGATAAATCAAAAGTGACCATTTTAGCGATTTTAGGGCATTTTTTGAGGTTAGGGCGAAACCAGGACCCATTGGCCAAATTCTGATGGCGGATTCGGATTCAGCGCATCGAAATACATCGGAATACATATGTCTCGACCTCAGATCAAGAAACTTTATTTTTTTGTGTGGCTGTGCAATCAATTGACTCTAACTGACACAGTTTTACCAAAGTTTTATGGTCCTCCTAAAGTCCATAAGAAAGATGTACCCCTTCGTCTAATTGTTTCTTTAATTAATAGTCCAACACATTTTCTTGCAAAACTTCTGTACAATCAATTAAAACCACACATTACTGTTCCAAATTCTCATCTTAATAATAGCTTTGATCTCATAAAAAAATTGGACAATATAATAATTCCGGATGATTTCGTTTTAATGTCTCTAGATGTTTGTTCTTTGTTTTCTGAAGTACCGCCATTCTCTGAAGTTATAAAATGCACAAAATTTCTTTTTAATAACACGTTTTTCGTTTTTAATAAAAAATTTTATAAACAAATCGATGGCACTCTAATAGGTTTACCCATTTCTCCATTCTTCGCTGATATTGTTGTGGATGATTTATAAAGTGATTGCCTTAATGTTTTGAAAACTAAATATAATTGTGTACCACTTTTTTATTATAGATATGTTGACGATACAATTTTATGTGTTCACAAGGATTGTGTTGATCTAGTTTTGTCCGTTTTCAATTCGTATAACAAAAATTTACAATTTACTCATGAACTTCAAGTTGATAACAAAATTAATTTTCTCGATGTAACTTTATGTGTCGAAAGTAATAAAATAATTTATAAGTGGTACCAAAAGTGTACTTCCTATGGTAGACTTATCAATTACTGTTCAAATCATCCAATTCAACAAAAAAAAATATAGTATACAATCTTATAGATCGAGCGATTCTTCTTTCTCACACTTTGTTTCACAATGACAATTTAGTGAAAGTTAAGCAAATTCTTTTAAATAACGATTACCCTACTTTTTTTGAAAAATATATTAAATCTCGATTAAATAAAATAAAAATTTTCTAACATAGATTTGATTGACAAAAAAAATCGTTCAGAGTTATATAAACAAATCCCTAGAGTTTGTTTACCTTTTAATAATTGTAATTACACTAAATTGTCAAAAATTTTGAAGTCATATAATATTCATTCTATCCCAATTGTTAATAAAAATTTGAAATCAGTTGTAAAATTGGGTAAGGATACGATCGAAAAATGGCAAGAAACGAATTTCGTTTATAAATTTAAGTGTAAAGATTGTCTAGCGAATTATATAGGTCAAACTAAGCGTCCACTGAAAGTCCGTATCAACGAACATAAGAATAACAAAAATGACACATCAGTGGTACGTGCACATCATTTAAACTTTAAACATGATTTTGACTGGAGTAATTCCACTATTCTCGATCGCGAACCAAACTATAAAAAACGATCTACACTGAGAGAAGTCCGGGAACTAATACGTCCCGTGCGAGCCTTGAGTTGTACTTTTGAATGTTTTTATGTGAACCCTCGAATCGGGATGTCTCAAGCCCCGATGCGAAACGTGGAACGTCCTGAAGCGAGATTATACAGAACTTTCAGTGTTTGCCACCAGTTGTTTTCTCACATGCGAGAACAATGTTTGACTGGATCGGGGAGTCTCAGCACCCGATTCGGAACAACTCAAACACGACAAGCAGAGTAGCTCATAGCGACGTCTAGCGGGAACTATTACGTCTCGGTCTTCTCTCAGTGTATTTCTGAAATGATACACATTTTGAGTAATGATTTTACTATTAATAAGAAAGAAGACATTTGTTTTCTGAATAAAACTTATTTTCCCCTTATTAGGAGATTAGCAATGTATTCTAAATTGTAATATTCAGGTACTATAATTTTTTATATAATTGTGTTATTTATTATTTATTGTAATTTATTAATTTTGGTGTTTTATTAAATAAATTAGCATGAAGAGGATGGTAAACCACACCATCGATACGTCGCAACCTTAAATATGACATAATCCTTTTTTATGTTTGATACCTTCCTATTGATCGAATTTATCTTCACCAAATTACACATGCGGAAGGGATTTTTTTTAATTAAGATATCATAAATAATAATAAGTTATCATAATAATAGTAAATACAAAATAAAAAGGGAAAAAAATTGGAAGGGAATGCGTTTGTAACGTTTAATGCAAATGGGACGAAAACACACATGTCAGACGACGCGGAGCTGCGTCGCGAGATGTTTTAAATTACCTATATTTTTGTTATCTTTTAAACAATCGGTCTAAAACCTTTTTAGAAAACTTCCTTGATTTCTAAAGAAAAACTTCCTTACTAAAAGTTTGTTAAACGCAAAAGTTCCCGCAGACTTTTTGTCGTTAAAACATAGAATGCGTCATTACCGACACTCCCCGATATATAATTAAATATTGTTTAACAAAAAGTCATTTTTCATATTTTTATTATTTTATCATCTTGAAAAGACCTTCACACGATTCCATACCAATTTTAAAACAAATCCGTCAATATTTGTCCGAGTTATGACAATTTATGTTTTAAAATTTTATGAAATTGTGTAACAAAAAGTTTCTAGTCTTTTGTCTCTACTGGCAAAAATATTCACCCTACAAAAAAATTTTAAAAAGAAAAAAGTTGCGCATTTTTATTTTATAAAAGATAGTGTTTTTCAAAATGTTTATTTTTAACTTCGAATTTTTCTCATATTTTGGTCCGACTGACTACTATTACGCTAAACTTTTGAGCGCAGTTCATGTTATAGAATTGGAAGGTTCAATTCTGATTACGGATTTGCGTTCGGAATCAAAAAACCTATAAAAATCACCCTATGCGATCCTAGAAATAAAAATGCTGTTGCACTGTGTTATGAATCTAAAATCCAATTTTTAAAATTCAAAACGGCGGATGCAATATGGCAGACAAGTTTTCAAAAACTCATTAGATTTGTTTAAAACTTGTTACTTGGGAGTTTTGGGGTCGTGGATTACGAATCTAATGTCCAATTTTTAAAATTTTAAACGGCTTATATAATATATGACAAATTTTCAACTAAAAACTCATTGGTCTTTAAAAATTCGTTAATCACGTTCTTTAGCTATTAAAATGGTTAAAATATTTTTAATGTTGCCGAACTTTCACCACATGGAAGTATACGTAAACTGAAAAAAATTGATGTTAATTTTAAAATTTTATATTTTTTATCTCTTTTATTTATACGGGAGGATGGGGCAAGGATAGTTACTTGCTGTTATGCTTAGATGGCTTGCTCAAAAATCGCGTAATTCATGGTATATTCGCGTCTTAACACCAAAAGATGATAGTGAAAATTGGAAGGCAATCTGTCACCATTTCCGAAGTTAGGAGTTTATTTTTTAAAAAAAAGTGCTTGGCTCGGCACGAAAAAATTGCTGCTCGCCTCGGCTATTCGAGCTTTTTGCACACCTCTACAAATTTTAAAAAAAGTGTTTAATTGTTCCTTTTAGAATGATATACATAGTAGTGCGTAATTATATACGGAAAACGAAGCTTATTGACAAAGAAATTGGTGGTCGTCTGAAGAAAATTGGCATATGAGAGCACTCATTAAAGATTTGATTAAGGCCTTCAAACGATTGTTTCCCGATATTAATATTATAAATAAATTTCATCATGTCGATCAATATGCCGAATGTACTGAATGGTCTGGCCCGATGGCTCAATATAATTGTATTCGATTCGAAGCTAAACATGCACAAAATAAGCAAAGAGCTCAAAATGTACACAATTTTAAAAATCCCCCAAAAACCCTCATACGTGTTTCACAGTGCACGCAAAGTTCCAAATGGGGATGCGGAGATGTAAAATTGCACAAAATCGAGTGAACAAGTGGTTTCACAAATCTTGTTGAATACATTTTAAGCTAACAAGGCTTATACGATTTGGGATATATTGATTTAGATAAAATATTTTGTGCATTGTCTCTCAAAGTTGATGGTACTAAGTACTGTAAGGGATTGTATGTTTGTATTGAAGTTGCACATATTCGTGACGATAATTTGCCAGTTTTTGGGTGCATAGATTAAATAATTCTTTTAGAAGACTCTTTGGTATATTTGAAAGTGTCCGTTTGTTTGACATCTTACTTTGACACTGATTTTAATTCGTATTGCATTAAACAGTCAGATGATAGCGTTTATCGGTTCGTCAAAGTAATTGAACTCGGTCACTTTAAACCATTCTGTTATTGGACTAATGCTAACTCAAATGATTTGTACATTAATTTTCGTTACATTATTCTGTAACGTTTTAAAGGTCGCATTTCACACTTTAGTTTTTGTACATATTTTTTAATATATATTTTTAATTTAGTTAATTTCTACAGATATCCTTAAACAAATATATTAATCTATTATTCTTTTTTCAGATGAAGAAATAAATGGTAGTTTTTTTTAGAACTAACAGAAGAAGATCTAATCTGTTTGAAAATTAAAATGGGACCAAGGAAAATAATTTTAAAATTAATTAGAGAAAATCAAAAACTACAAGTTAGTCATCTAATAATATTAAAAATATTAAAATTGAATATGAATAGTAAAACCAAAATCGGTGACAGAACAGTAGCTGCTATCACTTAAAAAAATATATTTTTAGATCGTTTTGTAGTTTAAAACTACGGAAGTCTGATCCATCAAAACCTAGGCTCGAATAATTTTACAAGAAACACGGAAACAGTTAACGATACAACTGGTCCATCAACTTCACCATCTGATACTATTAATGTTACTACACCAGTTTTTAATTTACGGTAAATATATTAAAAGGATTTTTTTTCCTAAATGTTCAAAATTTTTTACCACTTTATGTATTAAACTAATAAAATATTTTAAATTTTTAGCGTTATGCGTCAGTTGAAGAGACTCTTCTTAATCATCCACAAGGTGAATTATTAGTGAAATCTGCAAAGGAATCTTTTACCGAAGAAAACAGAAGGGCTTTGATACGAATTGTTGTTTCAGAACTGGTTAAAGTTCACAATGATAGTTAGTATGTTGAAGTAATAATTTTTTATTCTCAAAAACAATTTATTTACTAACTAGTAATTTTTAAAAGCTCTAATTTTTTTTAATGTTGGGAAAACGTGACGTTATAAATGTTTACATGTTTCTATTAAAGACTAACTAACTACTAAAATCAATTATATATAATGATAAGTAAATAATTAGAAGTTAATATTAATTATATCAATAGTGTTCCATGTCGAACGACCAGGACGAGAAAACAACGAACACATGACAGATGGTCGTCTAATTAGAACTGAATTTATCTCAAATCGTATTCTTTCGATCGAATATCTCGTTAACGATAGTTCGATCGATTCTTAAAAAAATACAAATAAACGAAAGTCGATTGTATTTAATTAAAAAGAATTGGTAAGGGTATTTAAATAAATAATCTCTAATAATACTTTTTCAATATCTATCAAAATTATATGCTATAATCCGAAATTAATATTATATCTAATTATAATATTTTTTTAAATTAATATAATATAAAATTTTCTGATTATCAGATAGTTTTCTATAATCAGACAATAATTAATTTTTACTAGTTTTACTGCAAGTTTTTTAAGCTTTAACTCATTTTTAACTCTTTTTTCAATATAGAAAGAAAGAAAGAAAGAAAATAATATTTTACATATTTAGTAGAAAATTCTGTTATAGTCAGACAATAGCCAATTTTATGTGATTGGACAATTTTTTCTTCAGAAAAAATTAATTTTTATCTTTTTTCGTAGTGTAAAACAAGGAGTTTTTAGTAAAATAAATGTTTATACTAATTAAAATGTTTATCACTATTTATTAGTTTAAAATTTTTAGAAATTGGCTTTGAAAATTTAAAACTTTAACCTAAATTTCCTTATTTGTAAAATATATTGTTATTAATTTATTTTAAATTATAGAAAAAACCGTTACTTTTAAACAATTATTTATTTTTTATTTTTGTACATTATTATTCATTTAAAAATATAATAATATTTTTAATTAATATTTTTATTTTATTTAAAATAAAAAATTTTATTTTATTTTAATTAATATTTTTAATTAATCTGCTAAACTTTAAAGTATGAATATAAATCAATTTTTTTTGTATATCGACGACACAAATATTTTTAAAAAATTAGAAACTAATTAGAAAATTCAAAACTAATAAAAAAAATTACCACAAGAAAAATATTCTATCCTGTGGACAACAAAGATTAAATTTCGTCTTTTAACGAACACGTAACCCAGGAATTAATACACATGAGATATTTTATGCTATCATTATTAAGCCTATTCCGATGCTTTCTGATTGTTAATGACCCACGCGAAAAAAGACGTTTAGCAGCAACGGAAGTTGCTTGAACGCTTAAAAAATATCTAGACATTTAAGCTAAAGTAGGGTACAAATTTTCATTTTTCCTCCATTCATTTCTTTTCGCCATTCTTGTGCCGATTTGCAACTTTTTGCTTTTTCTTTTTTGTTTGTAAAAAACCCTCGTAAATTAAAAGTCTCTTCTTCGTCAACTGGTTTGAATTCTGATGTAGATGCTACGACGTTATCCACTGAGTCATTCAGACTCTCCTAATTAAGTACATTATGAATAATTTTATTTAACATTTTTAATAATTTAATATGGGGCGAAATTTCTGAAGTGGACCACCTTAAAAAAAAAGTTGTGGGATTGATTTGGTATTTTGGTAATTTGTTCTCCTATATAAGAGTAACAAATTCCCAAAATATTAAAATATTTAAAAAAAATTATTACACAATTATTACTACTAGCCGAAAAATACTTTTTTATTTAATTGTTACGAGAAAAGATTCAATAATAAATTTCTAATAGAAATAAATAAATATAAAGAAATATTTATGGTGAATTTAAGTAATATTCCATACTAAAAATTTAATTTTCATGTGAGTACAAAAAAATAATAAATAATTTTGAAAGTTTTATGCTTTTGGTTTTTTCTTCCAAAATGAATAAGAAAATTTTCTACAAAAATTGTGATTATAAAATAGGAATTATGCAAATATTTTTCTTCAACAATTTTTAACAAAACTTTTTTTTATTCAAAAGAAATTAAATAAATTTGTATTAACTCATCTATATGTTAATAACAATTTTTATTACAAAATTTTAATTTGTTTTTTGAAAAGGAAAAAATTAAAAATATTTTGTTTTTAGGAAAATAATAATTAATAAATAAATTCAATAAATATTTTTTTCAAGTGATTAAAAAAATTTCTTAATTTATTATAAAATAATTATAATATAATCTATTAAAGCTTAAGGGTATGTGGAATCAGCCAACTTTAATTAATACATGTATTAATATTCCCACCAGTTTTCTAAAAAAATATTTAATATATCTTGACAAAATATAAGAAAAATAATATTTTATTTATTGAGACATGGATCTCTAGTCCAATTAATACAAAAATTTGCTTTTAAATATTATTTTTCATTTAATAAAAAGTTTGATATTTTTTGAGAAAAAAAGACAATCAAATACAAATTAATATTGAAAAAGATGAATAAATTTATATTTTTCTATGTTAACATTCATTTTTTTCAATGGCAATTTGTATTCGATTGTCTTTTTTTCTCGAAAATTGTCAAAAAAATGAAAGTTTGAATAGAAAAATATAAATTTATTCATTTTTTTAAATATTAATTTGTATTTGATTGTCTTTTTTTCTCAAAAAATATCAAACTTTTTATTAAATGAAAAATAATATTTAAAAGCAAATTTTTGTATTAATTGGACTAGAGATCCATGCCTCAATAAATAAAATATTATTTTTCTTATATTTTGTCAAGATATATTAAATATTTTTTTAGAAATCTGGTGGGAATATTAATACATGTATTAATTGAAGTTGGCTGATTCCACATACCCTTAACGACCAACAAAAATATTCACAAACTACAACTTCAGATGTAGACAGAAAAAGAGAATACCACGATTATTATAATTAATAATTATGTAAATAAAAAAAATGTTAAGTTAAATTTCTAATTATTATTTTACTAAAAACAAAATATTATTAATTTTTTCCTTTTCAAAAAACAAATTAAAATTTTGTAATAAAAATTGTAATTAACATATAGATGAGTTAATACAAATCTATTTAATTTCTTTTAAATAAAAAAAAGTTTTGTTAAAAATTGTTGAAGAAAAATATTTGCATAATTCCTATTTTATAATCACAATTTTTGTAGAAAATTTTCTTATTCATTTTGGAAGAAAAAACCAAAAGCATAAAACTTTTAAAATTATTTATTATTTTTTTGTACTCACATGAAAATTTTTAGTATGGAATATTACTTAAATTCACCATAAATATTTCTTTATATTTATTTATTTGTATTAGAAATTTATTATTGAATCTTTCCTCGTAACAATTAAATAAAAAAGTATTTTTCGGCTAGTAATAATTTAATAATTTTTAATTTTAATCAATTTTTTAAAACAGGTTATTCTCAATTTTTTATAGAAACAGTAATGCAGGCATTATTGTATAATGACAGTCTCAACTCTGAAGAATGCAGAGAGCTATTACTGAATTACTTAGGTGCAGTCAGAACCCGCTGGTCTTACGGGTGCACCAAAAGCGCGTGCCGCGCGCGCGCAACGTCTACATTGTTATTAAATTTCTTTTAAACTATTTTCTGTCCCACTCTAAAAATTACATGGATCATTGGAAAAAACCTCAGCTTTCCGATGAAATTATTAAAAAAAAATACCCAAAGCAGTCAAAAATAAAAAATAAAAATTATTTTTGAGAAAAAGAAGTTAAAATTTTTTTTTGAAAATTTTATTAAAAGCATCAGAAAGTAAATGAAAAATGTTTTAAAATCCGTTATTCACAAATTAAAATCCATAAAGTTTTATCCAACTTATAGGGATTTCAAAATGTCAATGTTCTCTAAAATGTGAAAGTTTTACCCCCCCCACTTTCTACAATTTTTTTTAAATATTTTAATATTTTGGGAATTTGTTACTCTTATATAGGAAAACAAATTACCAAAATACCAAATCAATCCCACAACTTTTTTTTTAAGGTGGTCCACTTCAGAAATTTCGCCCCATATATATAATTATTTTTTATATAATTAATAAAAATATAATAAATATAAATAAAATAAAAATAGAATAAAAGTTTTTCAAAATGATATATGTGAAGCATTCTCTGTAAAACGGACCCCCCCCCTCTGCCCAGAAAGGGTTTAAAAATAAAAGACCATTCTTTTTGAAAAATTACAGCTTGTAATATTTAGTTACTTTTGCCGTATGGATTTTTTTAATTAAAAATATTTATTAAATAATATAGCACTATGAATAAATAAATGCTAACAAAAAAAAAAAACTGTTTCTGAATTTTCAAATTTGACCAGAATTGCTCAAAACTTGTTAGTCGGGGGTTTTTGGGGTCGCTGATCACGAATCTGAAGTTACTTTTTAAGAAATTCAAAATTGTGGATCCAATAAGGCGGACTAAATTTTTAATTTGATCAGATTTGCTCAAAACTTGTGACTCGGGGGTTTTTGGGGTCTCTGATTACGAATCTGAAGTCATTTTTTAGAAATTTAAAATGGCGGATCCAATATGGTGGATTTTTTTTTCAAATTTGACCAGATTCGCTCAAAACTTGTTACTGGGGGATTTTTGGAGTCGCTGATTACGAATCTGAAGTCACTCTTTAAAAATTCAGGCTTTAACACCAGACTACCCTTTTAAAGATATTAGAAGACTATTGTTTTTCTAAAATTAAGATTGCTATTCTCTTGGTGTAATTATTTACAAATATTTTAATTTGTCAATCCAGTGAAAACGTTATTGAAAAACGTTATTTTTCTTTTAAATCGGAACCAACAGATGTTGGTTATTATTCTACTAGAAGACTATTTCTAAAAAATACATACTTTCCACTTTAATTTAATAAAGTAATAAGTTCTCCAAAATAAAATTTTACCCTGTTTAAATTATACACGAGTGTATTTAATAAATAAAAATTATGTCTTGTAAACCTTAGAGTTAAACTCTTTACTGACAAAACCTTATACTTAAATGAAATACATAAATTATTTTAGATAATTTTGTTTAATTAAAATTAGTTTAAAAGATTAATCATAATGCATAGAAAATATCTACTGATTTGATTCAAAAGCTATATGTATTTGAATTATTATAATTAATTCGACCATTTATTCTGTTTTGGTTTAAATAAAAAATTACTTTAAAATTTT